AATTGATCTAGTCGTCCCAGATTACCCGGAACGAACGCGGATTTGAAGACAGACGCACGAAATTATTACAATTTAGTCTTTCATATGAGCAACGCAAATACACGTTCACGCAATACATGTTTTTTTAGTATTACAGACACTCATATTTTTTTATATTTTATTATTAATTTATTTATTAATTTAAAACCAATCAGCAAATGTGGAAATTGAGTCCGTGGTAATTTAATAGGTTATCTGCGATTTTTTAAAATCAAATATATTTCAACAGAGTACGTTTTTTAAAGAAATAAATATAGGTAAAAGTGCTTACTTTACGAAATGGTTGAGCAGGAAGTCGATGCAGTTCTTGTTGAGGTCCGGCAGCTGCGCGTAGCACTTGAGCAGGGCGTGTCGCCGCGTGTGCGCCGGACCAGAGTCCACTGACGTGCCCACACCCTGTCAAGAATATTGTTTATTTCTTTAATAAGTAAAATATTAATTATATTACATTTGTTAAAAAAAAAACAAGAATTTGTGTAAAATATAAATATGACCAAGTCTTAAAAGAACGGCCTGACGATTGTGGTTTCATTTAAGTCTTATTCTTATCTATTGCCTCACTTTCTAACATTTTAAGAATCTCCTATTTCTATAATAGATATACGCTTACCTGTGCGGATCCCCAGGCTCGCAGCAGCTCGGGATAAAGTGCGTCGGTGAAGAGCGCTTCGGGCAGTTCGCGCAAGTACAGCTTGAGTACACCAGTCACCGAGTGAATGTCCACCTCCTTCAGCAGCTGCTCCGCCTCGTATGCATCTGTACACATGAATTCATAAAACATCAACTTTTTAGAACCTGTATCTAATTGTTTTTAATCTATATTAAATTGTCTAGGAAATATGTAAAAAATATATGTATATATACTTGTCTCGAAGCTCTTTTTAAGCCGGTTAAGGTCCGAGGCGCTGCCGGAGACGCGGTACACGCCCACCTCGTGTATGCCGCGCCGCTCCACCTCGCGTACGCACGCGCTTATTATGA